AAGAGAATTCTAAGAAATCTCTCTTGTAGAATAGATCTTGATTAAGATCTATTATTTCATCTTGTTAATAAACTGAATATTATATTTATCTTGAAATTATATTTTGGAATTGGACTATATTTTAGCTAATTACAATAAGAATACTATCATTACCTATCTTTAGATTAACTCTGAAATAATAATAGAAACATTCTTGTCAATAAAATCTCTTAAAAACTTTTCCAAATAATGCTTTAAGCACGTGATCACTTTTATTACATGCTTTTGTAATATTAGATTTAATACTCATCCTCATCTTAGAACTCACATCAAAAAGGTAATAATATAAAATAATCAAAAAAATATTTAATTCATAATGAGAATAATTTCTTATAGAGTTTTGAATTAGTATAAAATCTTTTTAATAATTAATTAATATTAATATTAACTATAATTATTTAATTAATTAATTATATTAATGCTTTTAATATCTATAAAATAATAATTTTTGATAAAATATATTTGCTCAATTTAGATATTTCAAAATATTTTTTAGAATTTACTTAAACATATATTTAATAAAAAGTAGAAATGATAATTATTAAGAAAATAGATTTATAATTAAAGATGATACAGCAAGTATATAATGCTTATTTATCACCTGTTGTAATATGTTACAACTTCAAAATTTTATAAGTTGCAACTAGTTGCAACTAGGTAATGCTTTATTTGTCATCATGTTGTAATAGTTGAGAAGCCATCTTTATTTATAACTATGTATAATTTTTTAATATCAAGAACTTGTAATTATAAAAAATAATCTAGAAAATATATAATAGTTTATAGCTAATAATTATTATAATATAATAAAAATGATAATTTTTATAATAGATAATTTATTTGTTAAATATAAGAATAATAAAGTTTTATGTAAGAGATTATATTATTACTGTTTTAAGTTTATGTATATATAAATATTTTAAAATGATAATAGTGATTGTGTTCATAGTAATTATTTACTTTTTATAACTTCAAGTGATTATATAATCAATTATCTTTTTAATAAGATAATATATGAGACAGATTGCAACAAAACCAGACAAAGTAAACATTTTATAAATAAGAGGCTGATTGTGATGTGACTGTAAATTGACCAGTGTGACTGATGACATTTTGAAAGTAATAATGGTGCTCATTCATAATTTATGACTTGTTGATTTTAATTTTCACTTTATCATATCATAATGTGAGGAATATAAACCATAATAGGAGTAATATAGAACTATCCCTATATAAAAATATAAATATGAAACTAATTTACATCAAATCCACCATGGAATCCAAGAATTATAGCACTATTAGAAGTATTTTAAAGAAAGCTCAAGGAGAGAAAATTGCCCCTTACGTTTTTAAAATCAATGATACCCAAACTCTCCAGGAATATCTAGTTCAAGAAAAAATTACTTATGAAATTTATCAAGAAGAACGAAAAATTATAACTAATAAAAGAGTATTTCCAACAACACATATAAACCAAAGAAAAAACGAAAACTAGAAGAAACATAAAGCAATATCTTTTCTTTATTATTGTTAATAACAATCGGGACAAATTTCCATTATTTTTTATATACAGTTCGAGTGAGAATAGCAATAAATACGATAATTTTTGTTCGCTGTGGCCCGAATACTATAAATCTGGCACAATTTATGGCCAGAAAACCTGTGTCGTATTAGTTAATATTAAAGGTAATAAAGAGAAACCACCAAAATAAGTCATTAGGAGAGCAGCCGTTTGATCGGCAAAGCAATTGTTTCAAAGTCCATGGTTATAATGAACGCTTATAATTCTGATCGGCGTTTGATAAACTGGAAGATTGATTATAAAACTAGCACCAGTTCACCCACAAAACCAAATTTGCAATTGATCAAATTACAAACATCAGTTAATCATTATCAAACGCTTTTGCTCCATAAAAAAAACCGATCTACAAAAATGTTCACTTCTGTTGAATTCTTTTGCGGGCTATTAATTGGATTTGTTCTCGGTCTCTCACTGCATTATAAGATTTACAATCAGCTCGGCAATATAAACCAAAAGCTTGAAACGATAATTCAAGCGATCGAGCCAGTAAAATCGAGAGGACAAGCCATTGTTTATTACGCAAGATATCTACTATGTTTGTAGCACACTAGCAACCATTGGTTGGAAATTAATATAGTTTCCCACACTGCAAAATTTTTTGGTAACCGAATAGTTAAACTACTTCGTTACGCTGGAAGAAGCAAAAGAGGAAAGACCACATAAACCTTTATTCTGTTTACTTTGTTCCTAATTGATATCACCTCTTGTTTTGAACTGCTGTATGTCCAGTGGTCAAACTCGGCTACTTACCTTGAGTAACAAAAATCGTCAAAAGGTTCGCTCGATGTCCAGTTGGTTGTGGGTTCTTCTTGAAGGTCAAGCTGACCCTGTTGAAGTGGATGTTTCAGACATACTCAATCTGTCGCGACTTATCCCTCGCATCAAGGAGGCATTTCCAGAACTCTCGTCCATTCCACCAGGGAAGATACAATTTTTGTCTAGCAACAACCGCACACAACCACTTCGAAAAGGCACTCTCATCACATCCATCCATACTACGGATACGTCACCCCTTGTCGTTCGTTATCCATTCACTGACTGCACGGTCGTAATCCGCTGCAATCTGTCGAATAGCTGGTTCAGGCAGGACTGGCCGCACTCCAGTGGACTTTGGCATCTCTTGCGTGCTGCTGCCCTTGCTCGATTTTCTCCACTGGATGGGTCCGATTTTTTTTTCATGGTCAAGGATCCGGTTGAAAAAGAAATAACCAACGAGTTTCAGTTCAACAGAGTCATTCAGAAGGCTCCAATCAATGACGAGAATGAACGCCAGATCAGCATATCCATACGGGTTGAGGGTAAGAAGGCATACGGGGAATGGGACCTGCGTGATGTCCTCCAGAACATCTTGCACAAAAGCAGTTGGACATCATACACCAACGCCCCTCGCCTGAACTTGGACGAATTCGAGAAAGTAACATTAAGTGATGATATGTTGAAGTTGCTTATTGACGAGCTTCAAAAAAACACAGACGTATTCGGCGACGTGACGAGGAACGAAATGACATGTCAAGAGTTCATTTCTCCCTTCTTAACTACGGCTGTAAAGCATTTACAAGTAAAGGAACCGCTTCTGGCACTTAGAGCTGAAGATGAGCTTAATGGGAGCCGTGGCTTTGGTCCTGTGGACTACACAGTCGTGTTAGATGACATCGTGATATGTGTAACAGAGGCAAAGAAAATGGATTTCGACAAAGGAGCAGCTCAAAACATAGTGCAAATGCACAGTGCTGTAGAGAGCTTAAGCAAGCGCAAGCGAGAAGACGAAGATTTGAAAGATTCTGAGGAAGTTCCAGTTATGGTGTATGGAATCGTGTCAAATGCCCGAAACTGGTTATTCCTGCAATGGGCAGGCACAGAAAACGATCCAGTCCTATATGTATCTAATATGCAATCGTGCAACTTCAGTGATGCTGAAATAATGAAGGTGGAAGCAAAGAAAATCGCGACATACATTATCGCAATCCTGCAAGAGCAGATTCATGGATTAAACACAAAACGTCGTCGCGTTCTGAAGAAACCCAGATTGTCACTTTAAATACACGTCTCATTGATAACATGACAGCATGTGTGTAAATACTGCACAACATAATTTGCTCATTATGATCATAATAATGTAATGGTTTTTCAACCAAGGTAAACCACCATTTTATTATTTGACGAGAAAGAAAATGGAACTTTTTGATGTGGTGTTGCTTTTGCCAACTGGAACCACCATAATGTATCTGGTGAACTTTTCTTTAGTCTTCTTGTATGCCATGTGAGCTTTTTTTGCTACCCCACATCTTTCTGAACTGCTATTAATTGTACTTAGTTTGCAATTGTATTAATTGACAATAAATGGATTGTCTGCACATTTTACGTAATTGCCATGACTCAATTGATTAACACATGATTTGGCAATAGTTTCTCTTTCAAGTTTCAAATATCCTGAAATTTTAAGTTGAGGCCATGTGTAAAGAACTATAATTGGGTTTTAAAAATGGATTATTCTCTCAGCAACATTGAGATCTTGTGACTTTTGTGTAAACTTATTGACAGTAAAGATCTAAAAATATATATAGGATTTACCCGTATATGAAAAAATTCTATCTATAATGGTTCCACCGAATATGAAAAAGCCATGCGTTTCTTGGAGATAGGTTGCAATTGTGGTTGCTCAAAAATAATTCCGAGAGAGAAGTTTGCCGAATTACGTGAGGCGTTTCAAGCTCTCTCTAGATCCGAACAAGATATATTTTTAATGGCCCAGTTGAAAGCAATGAATGGTGGAGAAACAACTGCCAGTCGACGTCTTAAAAAGAAAACGCGTATTAATAAAAGAACTTTTTATTATTGAGATCGCAATACGCCTCTCTGTCAGAAAACGTATCTCAATATGTTAGGAATTGGCCGCACGCACTTCGAAAACGCCAGAAATCCTCTAGCAACGAATGGTATAATACCACGCGTTCATGGTAACATCAAACGAGTACCGCGATGGAAAACCAAAATAACCATTGATATAAACGTTGCTACTGCCGTGAAGAATTTTCTCGAAAACTATGCTGAAATTCATGGATTACCAAGTCCTGGTAGAAATGTAAACCGCATTACTCAATCGCTTACACTTTTACCAGCTGAAACGAGTTACAAATCGGTCTATCGTGATTTTATTGCAGGTCTTGAAAACGATAGCACGTTGCAATTGTTAAAATATGATGCATTCCGCAAGTTATGACATCAATTAACGCCTTATATTCAAATTATGAGTCCACGAACGGATTTGTGTGACACGTGTCAACATTTTCGGAACGGCTTACAATACAATGCTCGCAAGGAAGAAGAAGCAAGAGACTTACTAAAAAGATTCAAAGAACATTTAGTTAAAGCTAAGTTAGAGAGAAACTATTACAACAAGAATACGAAATTAGCAGAACAACAGAGAAAATTGGTAGATGAGCATTTTACGACGAGAGGCAAAGCTGATTATTGTAGCATTGACGCGACTGCTCATTATAGTTACGATTGAGCGCAAAATGTTCACGTCCCCCATTCCGATCAACAGGTAAGTAAGATTTATTATCTCAGTCCGCGTAAAGTACATTTATTTGGTATCCAAGATGATGCAGTACGCGAACAAATTAATTACGTTCTCGATGAAAACGAAATTATCGGTAAAGGACCTAATGGCACACTGAGTATGGTATTCGATGGAATTAAAAGATTGAATAAAGGTGAGAAACATTTAAAGATTACTTGTGACAACGCGGGAGGACAGAATAAAAATAATGCCACTATTTGATTTTACCTATATTTAGTAATTTGCGGTTATTATGAAAGTATCGAATTAAATTTTATGATACCTGGGCATACTAAATTCAAGTGTGATGGTAGTTTTGGACTGATCAAAAAACTTTATAGAAAAACGACCGTAGATTGTGTGGATCATATTGTTGAGGTTGTGAAAAAATCGAGCATAGCGGGATTAAACAAGGCTCAGTGCTACGAAAACGGCAAAGGCTTTCAATATTTAGATCTTAATTCCGTGTTGGGGATTTTCTTTAAAAAATTGAATGGTTTACA